TGGGAATATGTGGCTACATTACTTTGCACTGCTGCCACATAAGCATGTGGGCATTTTCTTGGGTTGCCCCTTCCCTGGAAGAAAGCCTTTCCTCCTCTGAGCCGGGCTGGCTGTACTTCCATCCAGTGTTTCTTTCATCGACAGTGGACTGCATTGATCTGGAGTCAACTTTCCCCATCAGATGTAATTCCTGGAGAGGAAGGACTCTGTCCTTTTCCACACAGTGGTTTTTTAGCACATGCCACTACTCTCCTGCAAAAGTATCACATATTGGGGGCAGTCTATCGTCCAGTCTGACTGATTCATCTTTGTACCCTCACCATGAGCAGCTGCCAGATTAGCAAGCAAAAATACAGGCCTCAATAAAATTTCAATTTTTTTTTAGTAACCCCAGTGATGCACAGGAATTACTCCTGACTCTGCACTCAGGAATTACCCCTGGCGGTGCTCAGGGGACGATATGGGATGCTGGGAATCAAACCCAGGTCAGTTGCATGTAAGGCAAATGCCCTACCCGCTGTGCTATCACTCGAGCCCCAAAATTTCAATTTCTAATAAATGACTCATTGCATTAGTATAAGTATGGCTCAAATGGTATTTGGGGTCTATTCATACTTTTTTTTTAAAATGGGAGGGACAGAGAGAGGAGGGACAGGGAGACCCCCAAGGGCTGGAGTCCATGCTCTGGGAGAGGCTTTGCTTGGTCCCCAGCACCATCTGGCTCTGCCCACACACCTAGCGCCACTTGGAGTGGCCTCTCTCCCTCAGCAGTGCTGCAAGTGCCCTCAAGTTAAAATAATATAAAAATAGTGACTACATCCCTGGAACTCAAACTGGATAGCTTGTATTTACTCAGGGCTTTGAAAGTAGCAGGTAGCCGGTAGCCGGCATATGGGGGGGGGGGGGGGGGAACTGGGGATAGGAGCGGGGGATGCACATGACCTCTGCATTGAGAGCCTGAGGCTCAGGAAGCATGGGAGATATATGGGGTTTTTCTTCCCAATCAATGACAGCTTCGTGGTATCCCACCAGGGTCTCCAGGACGCTGAACCCTTCTGGGGCCTATTCCTCTCCCAACTCTTTCTCATGCTACACGGGTGAGCACTGCTAGAAACATCTAGAATTCAAGATCAGATTGATTCTCAGTGGAATTTTGGTCATCGCGTGTCCAGAAGCCTTTCACTGTGGCCAGTGTGAATCAAGGCTGTGGAGGGTTCTCAGAGGACCTGGGCCATATCAAGGAGGCCCAGTTTTCCTCCAAGTCACCCCTTCTTGCTCCATTCCTGCCCACCCCAGTGCATGCCAGGGTTGATCCTGGGAGAAGCTTTTAGGATGACCACTCAGGGGGATATCTTGATTTATAGCTACGTCTGTGATCAGGCTTGGGGGATCATGCAGGCCAGGTGGGTGAGAAAACTGCAGTCCTGAGAGGGAGAAGTGGGGAAACCGAGGCCTACGGGGCCTTCAGGGCCTCCCATTTGAAGCTTTGGGTAGGATGGGTAGGTCAGGGATTCCCTCCATCCCCGAATCAAGCAAGAAGGACCCTGGGACAACACTGGAATCACTTGCCTGTGCTCCCTGTTATGCCCAGAGCCCCTCCAGGAAGAGAAGACACCACCAGAAGGAGAAGCAGAGAGCGGAAGTGCAGGAGAGCCAAGCTGGGCACAGGAGATGTGTGTGCTGGGAGCCCAGGAGTCCCTCAAGGAGGCATCCACACCCACCGTCCCCATCCAAATATGGCAAACAAAGCCCCCGGTGAACAGCAACAGAGGAGTCGAGACAGGAAGGAGGATGAAGGATCTGAGCACACAGTGACTCGACACAGTAAGCCACACACAAATGCTTTTCCAGGGAGAGGCTTTTCACTGGATTTTCACAGGACACTGTAACCCCCAGAAGGTCCAGAATCAAGGGATGATTAGGCCCCCCACAAAGCAGGAGGATCCGCGTCTCCCAGGGGAAGAGCTGAACATGCCTGAGACCTGCCCCACGCAGTGAGCACCCCCCCATCCTCCCATGGCAGGCCCTGAGGCACGAGCTCCTCCATGGGCTGGGTTGAGGGGTGCGGCAGGTGCAGTTCAGCATCCCCAGGATGCTGCGTGACTCCCTGACGAGTGTGAGAGCAGCCTGGATCTGCTCGGCACCCTCTGCACAGCCCTCGGGATGGGCACCTCACTCTGCAGAGAAGAGGGGTTCCTCTCTCCTGACACCTGCCGACAGAGCCAGGGACTAAAGGATAAGCCAACATTTCTCAACTGGGGTCACATGCCCCCCCTCCCAGGGGACCCCGGGATAGTCCACAAGAGAAAATCCTGTCAGTGGGACCTCCGGAGACAGATGCGTTCAGAAGATGGCCATAGCTGGAAACAGACTGAAAAATGCGGCTCAAAGAAGCCGCTCTTTTTTTTTGGGGGGGGGGCCACACTCAGCGATGCACAGGGGTTACTCCTGGCTCTGCACTAAGGAATTACCCCTGGCGGTGCTCAGGGGCTCATATGGGATGCTGAGAATCGAACCCGGGTTGGCCGCGTGCAAGGCAAACGCCCTACCCACTGTGAACTCTCTCTCTCTCTCTCTCTCTCTCTCTCTCTCTCTCTCTCTCTCTCTCTCTCTCTCCAGGACCTGGTGACTGGCACTAACATTGGTGCCTATGACTCTTCCTCTCTAGGCATCACCATACTTCAGTCAACAGTGGATAAATCAGGACGTTCCCCTCAGCTGGCCAAAGCCATCACATCACAAGATCTGTAAAATGGGTTCTCCAAGGTGTTCCGCTCCGGCCCAGGGTTCAATTCCAAACAACTCTGGTGTGTCCTCTCCACAGTGGGTCTCCAGGACAGTCACTCTCTGCAGGGCCCCTCCTCACACGGGGGTGGGGGGGTGGGGGAGGAGAGGGGGTGGGGGCAGTGGCATTCCTTTGCTGTGAGATTCTGCACTGGGGAGAGGGTGGGGGGCAGGGCAGCGAGCAAGCAGGGAGGAAAGTTCTGACTTGAGAGTTTCTACTGACTCCCAGGCTCCCCCCCACCCCCGGCTCATCAATGAGTCCTTTCAGGGTTCCGTCTCCCCAACTAAGTTATCATTTCCTGTCCTGCACACTAACCCATTGATGGGGTATCAGCAAATCCTACCAGTTTATGCCGGAAGGAGCCAAGGAGATTGGACAGGAATTGAAGGGGAAAGAGGAAGAAGGCGGGCGGCTAAGGAGTGGCTTTCAATCCTGCCCTCAATGGATATTCAATCCCATATTGTTGGATCAGAGGGGATTTGTAACACAGGAAGCTGGCTCGCCTTCGCTCATCTCCTGGGGGAAAGCAGTCAGGACACGGAGATAAAATCAGACACTAGGGGACAAACGTGCAGACCTTGGTCCCACCAAGATGAGTCACCACCAAAGGTTACACGGGGAGCAGCAGGCCTTGGTCATGAGGATCCAGAGTGGGCAGGTCTCACTGCCCCGAGTCAGAATCTCGAACCTCTCTGCTGCCCAACTCACAAAGATTCTGCCCGATCAGGTGCCTGCCACCCATACCCAGGGGTAGGCCCCGATGGTCATGCCTGGGCCACTGAACATGGACGTGCCGACTGGTCCAGAGAGGAACCCCTGACTCGGGCCAGCCAATGCAAGTGTCCTCTAGAACATAGCTCCTTTGGAACTAGCGGGGGAAAAAAATCCAGCATCCATCTCTCTGCTTCTAGAAAGCACAAGATACAGAATTCAGGAGCCATGGGGCTGGAGCAATAGATAGCGGGTAGGGCGTTTGCCTTGCATGTGGCCAACCTGGGTTCGATTCCCAGCATCCTATATGGTCCCCCAAGTGGCACCAGGAGTGATTCCTTAGTGCATGAGTCAGGAGTAACCTCTGTGCATTGCCGGATGTGACCCAAAAAGGAAAAAAAAAAACAACAACAAGAATTCAGGAGCCGTGACAACTGAGTTCCTAGGGATATAAGGCAACAAGGGGCTGCAGACAGATCCCAGAGAAGAGAGGAGAGTCCGAGGGGGGCAGACCTGATTTCGGGGATTCCTGCAGCCCACAGCTTCGCTTGTCTTTCCCCCTCCAATGGGTGGCGTGAACTCCCCTGGCAGTGCCTTCCAACTCGAGACCGTGTAGGCTGGCATGCGTGTAAATCATGTATCGTCCAAAGAGTCGAATTAGCGGGCATCGGGGGAGGCATGAACAATGGAACTGTGGGGAGGATGGGGGGATGGGGGTGGGAGGGATATTATCCATGGTGGTGGAAAATGGGCACTGGTGGAGGGATGGGTATCTGATCATTGTATAATTGAAACCAAAGCACAAAAAATTGTAAATCTACAACTTTAAAAAAAAATAAAATAAAATAAAGGGGGAAAAAAAAATTAAAACACACACAAAAAAAAAATAAAATAAAATAAAAATGAAATAGGGGCTGGAGAGATAGAAAAAAAAAAAAACAATGGAACTGTGGAATCCCTGCTGCCGTGCCGCTGCATGTATCAGAGACACACACCACACATGTGTGAAAACAGGGTGGCCAGAGCCTTATTTGGCCGGGCAGACACAGTGGTATGCCTGCTGCGGGGATGTCTGTAGTTCAAGAAATTGCTTATTTTCTGTTTCGGTCTTTTCTGTGTGTTTGCTTTTCTTTGGCTGCAGTAGTGCTGCAGCTTGAGCTCAGCCTGGGTGTTTACAGACCCATGTCTGTCCCTGTCCCCGCTGCCCGAGCCACGCTCTCACCTCTCCACGCTGGCTTCCTATTCCCGCCCACCCCAGCCCGAGAGGGGACAAAGCAGGATTATTAAAACCATCTGCGGAAGCCCACAGAGCCCCAGGTGTCTGCCTATGCGATCCAAGACCCAGCAAAGCCCAGCTCAGCTGCTGAAATGCCCTCGCTGCCCCGCTGCTCCGACCCGGACTCCGTGGTAGGGGATATGCAGGTGGTTTCAGGTGTATGAGGACGGGAGAGGGACGCGGACACTGTGGGCAAAACTGACACCCGCAGCGCTCGGGTCAACTCACCTGCAGGTCAAAGAACTTGCTGTACCTCCTGTAGATGGTCTGGGATGTGGAGTCGGACCAGGTCACGTTGATGATGTATACCTGGGGCAAAAGGTAAAAGCAGGTAAGGTGAATGAGGCTGGACCAGGCGTTACTTAGGAGGGCTGTGGGTGCTCCAAGGCCAGGACCATTCTTTTTCTCATTCCTGTCCCAAGGTCTGCACCCAAGGATGTGCCATATCCATGGCTAAATACACATGTGCGTGCGCACACACACACAACATACACACACACACACACACACACACACACACACACACACAGGAGCGCGTGTGCCCTCACCTAAGAGGCATTTTACTAACATGCCAAAAAATGATCTTTCTAGGAAGATAGGATCATAGTGGTTGTTATTTCCTTCTCTTCGTTTTCTGTTTTTTTTTTTTTAATACAATGACTGAATCAGGGCTGTGAACAAGATAGTAGCTAATTCCCACTAGTTCTCAAATTTTAGAGCAAACAAGATTCCACAAGGAGTCTTTTCTCATGGCAGCGGAATTCTGAAATTCTGCAGAAAGTAGGTCTGGGCTTAATGGGTTCGAGCACTGACTACTTCATCTTATTAACTTAATTAATAAAACTCTGGTTGGGGGGAAACAGGACGGGTTGGGGAGAGAGAGAGAGACTGAACAGGGACCAGGCAGGGCTGAGGATTGAATATCGGGCTTTTGCATGCACAGTCTGTGCTCCTGCCTTTGAGCCATCTCTCCAGCCCTTTCTTTTTTTGTCTTTTTTGGGGGGTCACAATTGACAGTACTGGGAAACCGGGGGCCACTCTCTGATCAGAGCTTAAGGGTTGGTCCCTGGGTGCTTGGGGACCATGTGTGCCCTGGATCAGACCCAAGCATGAAAAGTATCTTCACTAGCCCTTTAAGTCCTATTATACATTTAAAAATTTTGATTTTTATAAATAATTCACAGCAAGACTGAGTACATAAATACAGAGCTTTCATATTCCTCCTACCTCATAAGTTAGTCACCCCCCTCCCCCGAGAGGTATATTTGTTAAAATTGGGCAGCTATACATTTTTACATCTTTCGAGGTGTATTTTTTGCAGAGCCAGGAATCAAATCCAGGTCCCACGCCACAAAGTCTGGTCTTTAGAACTGAGCCCCAGTTGGACTCTGGGCAACTAGATACATTTGTTTGTTTGGTTGGTTTTTGAGTAGTACTTGGGGGTTATTCCCAGTTCGGTGCGGGGAGGGGGGTGCATTCCTGCAGTGTCTGGAGGACCGTGAGGTGTCAGGGATTGAACTCTGGTCATTACTCCCGCACACTCAGGAGTCTCTCTGGGGCCGACAGCTATATCTTTAACCGCTCCAGGGTGCCCACTGAGGTAGGTCTTCAGGGCACCCTCTGAAAAGCACTCCAGGACACCATAAGCATCATAAGCATCGCACAAAGGTGCAATTCACTTTGGGACCTCCAGGGCTTTGCCCAGCCTCTGGCAGACAGGAGGGGCTCTCAGAAAACATTCTGCTCTGAGAATCAGACCCTTCAACTGAGTGAGGGGAAGGGGGTTGGCAGGAGAAACTTTGGCGCATGGAAGGTAAGGAAAACCTCTGACGCTATTTCAGGACCTCTCTCTCTCTCTCTCTCTCTCTCTCTCTCTCTCTCTCTCTCTCTCTCGCTTTTTTTTGGGGGGGGGTTCACACCTGGCGATGCTCAGGGGTTACTCCAAGCTCTGAACTCAGGAACCACTCCTGGCAGTGCTCAGGGTACCATAAGGGATGCTGGGAATCGCACCTGTGTCGGCCACGTGCAAGGCAAATACCCTGCCCGCTGAACTATCGCTCCAGCTCCAAGGACCCCATTCTCAATGCTCGATGAAGCCTCTTAAGATGTGGCCTTGGGCCAGGAGGAGGGCGGCCTTAGTGGCCAGAGAAGGGACACCCTCTGCCCACCACTTCTGTCCCTTTCACCCGAACCCATAGCAAGGGCTCACCCTCAGGGGGCAGCCTCAGTGAGCGGATGGGGTCTCCTCACACTTCCCCTCACTCTGCTCTTCTACTCTGGCTCCCATCACCACTGCTCAGGGGACAGCGGTAAGGGACAGCAGAGAAACACAGGCCGTCTCAGCCTCACCTTCTTCCTCCAGACAGGCTGAGTGCCACGACCCGCCACGAGGGTCCCGGGGGGCAGATTTCCCACTCGAGTCCCCTGGAGAGTTTTTGAAAGCTCAGGTTCCCAGGTTCTGCCTGACAACTCGAATTCTGAGGGTCCTGGGGGCTCCAGCAGTGAGGGGACATTGTGGCCAAGAAGTCTCAGATCTTGGTCACGGAAGACATGTCAGCAAGGAAAAGAAGTGGTCAGGCCTCCCAACATCCAGGTGGCGACCGGGCAGACACTGGGAACAGCCCCAAATACCAGAGTCCATACATCTTCAACAGGAAGTGGTCCCAGTCCTGTGTCTGGGGATTCATGATCAAGGGTTCTGGTGAGGCCCACTCCCCAGCAAGCAGATGGTCACTTCCTGTGGTACCCCACACCACCGGTGGAGAGGGGACACCACCAGGGGATCTCATCATCCCATCCCACCCTCACAGTCTCACCTAAACCTAATAGTTTACAAGGGCCCTGTACAGGTACCTTCTCACTAGGGATTAGGGCCTGGAAAATTTGGGGGAGACAGAAACATCCAGTCCAGAAGCCCAGCAGCCACACCCATACCCCACCAACACTGGCTTGGAAGCACATCTATCCACCCAGCTTCACAGACTCACAAATAAATCCTGCAATGGGCTGGAGCAATAGCACCAGCCATGTGGGTAGGGTATTTGCCTTGCACGTGGCCGACCCGGGTTCAATTCCCAGCATCCCATATGGTCCCCCAAGCACCGGCAGGAGTAATTCCTGAGTGCATGAGCCAGGAGTAACCCCTGAGCATCGCTGGGTGTGACCCAAAAAGCGAAAAAAAAAAAAATAGAAGAAGAAAAAAGAAAAACAAACCAAATCCTGCAAGAGACCAAGCAAGCTGCAAAAATTCATGGTACACCCATCTCCCAGCTAAGAACTCTGGGGTGCCCTTGGGAGTGGGGAGTGGGCTGAGTCCCTCCTGGATGAAGCCCCAACAGCCTCACTCAGATTCCATAGCTGCCGCCACACCAACATCCCAGGTCCAGTGATTCATGATTAATCTCTGCAGAGATCCCAAACTGCGAAAATTCCAGGTACACCGGTCTTCAGGCTGAGAACTCTGGGGGGGTCTTTTCAGAATGGGGGCAGGCAGCCTCCCCCCCATGTCCTTGTACTTCTGGAAGCTCCAACAGCCACATCCACATCCTGAAACCATTGCTCCATCAACTCATTGGCCCAGTTAAATATCCTGGAGTTACTGGAGCGCATGGCTGCAAATATGCAGCAGCCCCAAATTCTACAATATTGACATCCCGGTAGGCGCACATGAAATTCCATGGGAAAGTAACACAGAAGCCCACTAAATTCTATAAACAAAAACAATAGTGCAGAAGGCTCAACGAGCAACAAACACCTCAGTAAGCCCCCAGACAAGGACTCAATGACCCCATGATGAGGTAGAACAATTTTTACAAAGTTTCACTTACTGGAATAATTCCTTTTATAATTCTATTAGACATTTGGTTGTGACAAGCAATATAAAACAGATTTTTTTTACCTGCTAGGGGGGCAAACTGGGGTGAGGGACAGGTGGGAAAACAGGGACAGTGGTGGAGGGAAGGTCACACTGGTGGTGGGATTGGGATTGGAATATTGAATGCCTGGAATAAATGCATCATGAACAACTTTATAAACCACAGTGTTTAAATAAAGGGAAAAATGAATGTGAATGATGATGATGATGATGATAATCACTGTCACTGTCACTGTCCTCCCATTGTTCATAGATTTGCTTGAGTGGGCCCAGTAACATCTCCATTTTGAGACTTGCTGTTACTGTGTTTGGCATATTGAATATATCACGGGTAGCTTGCCAGGCTCTGCCATGCGGGCGAGATACTCTCGGTAGTTTGCCGGGCTCTCTAAGAGGGATGGAGGAATCTAACCCGGCTCGGCCAGGCTGGCTGTGTGCAAGGCAAACGCCCTACCGCTATTCAGTCCAGAACAGGGGTTACTGCACACAGGGGTGCAAGACTTCATGGGGGCGGGCAGCTCTAAACACAGTGACTGGGAGATGTTGCAGAGTCCTTAGCCTGTACAAAGAGGGATGTTAGTCGGAAATGCATGCGAGACAGGGTCACCACAAAGCCAATAGCTCCAAGTGTCCCTCCAACCCTCCCCCTTGCCCCCAACAAACACACCAGAGACAACTTATTGTATGGGAGCCAGACATGACAGAATACATTTACTAAAAAGCCATCACTTTGATGAGCTACTACTATCAGAGGACAGAGCACTGGGCTGTGTGTCCTGCCTGTGCAGGCCCGGAGCTCACAGTATCTGCTGTAGGAACCATCCATCGTGACCACCGTGGCCTTCACACAATCATCTGTCTTACGAGGTGGCCAGCCCTGTTACCCTTAAGAACAGGAGGAAGCAGAACGCAAGAGAAACTGAGTAACTTTCCCCAGGAGGTCACACAGCTGGAAAAACACAGAGCAAAGGGCTTGAACCCAGGGCGCCAAGTCTGACCCCCCCATACTCCCAACCACACGGGATGAGCACATCTCTCTCCAGGCATAGGTAGGAGCCCGGCTATTTCCTTTTGGGGACCGTCGTTCTCCTTTTAAAATAAAACCACAGGCAGATTGAGGAGTTCATGCACCCCTTGCTGCGGTGGGGGGTGGGGGGCGGGTGCGTCTAGAAGAACAAAGGGAAGTCATGTCAGTCGGGAGAGCCCAAGGCCGAGAAGAGACAGAACCGGGAGGGCCCAGACAGAAGTCAGCATTTAGGAATGCTACAAAACCAGACCAAAAACCAGCTTCCGGGTCTGGGGGTGGGGTGGGGGGGTGCTCTGGGATTCTTCACCAGGGTCACGACCCTCCCCCATCTCCCTGCTGGGCTGACTCCCATCTACTGCCCCCTCTGTGTTAGGCCCCACCCTGCGCCAGGTCACCCCAGTATGGTGG